TCTTTTCACCAAAATTTTGGCCTACTAACTTTTCTTTTCCTTTTTCTGGTTGCTCCAGGTTCTTTTCAGATTTGTTATTATTAGTAAACTAAAAAGTAAGTTCATATTAGTACTTCAATACTTTAATATTAAACATAATTAACTTCATTGTTAACAAAATATATAATTATTTTTAATCATAAGTCTTAATATGTAATACTAAAATTCAAAACCCAAAAGTTAATTAAAACCCAGATATACTTAAATATTAAAAACACTTATTATAATAAATATTAGTAAAAGAGATTAAAAGTAAAATAAATATTAACAAATTTGCTTAAAAAACCTTAAGAAGACTTTAAAACTAGTTTCATAGTATTGAAATTATCTTTTTAGTTTAAATTAATTTTGCTTCAATTGAAGTCTACCAGTTAAAGTATAGAAAGAATTAGTAAGTTTTATAATAGATTTTTGTTTAGTAGAGACTTTTATAAAACTAGTTTTTATTGTTATACTATTTTTATTATCAAAACTGCTACTGCTTGTATAGAATCCAAATACTAAACAATAAGTCTTTACACTTTTATTACAACTTTGGTATTTATTTACTAAATAATATTACTATTTTTATTGAGTTTATTTATAAAACAATAAGACCTTTTATTATTACAGAATCTAATTTAAGATTTTACTTTTCTCTTGTATAAAATCTGAAATAGACCAGCTTGCTAGCTAGCTATTTCAGACTCTATACTTATAACTTTGTTGTCTAATTATAAAAAGTCTTTGTACTTTTAACATATACCAGCTTTTTTCAGATTACTATTCCATTATTATTCTGGAAAATATATATTTTTTAAAGCAAAACATATAAATTCTCAATCATTTTTATATAATCTAGATAATTTTTAAGTAGAAATCAAATCTGAGTAAAATTTAGCTTCTAATTATTTTGTACTTTATTATAATTGAAAGCCAAATCTATTCTCAATTTGATTTTACTCAGAATTTTTTAAACCTTATAAAAATAACTAAGAATGTTAGTTTCAGATATTATCAAATTTGGATATTAAAATCATTATCTTTTTTTATATTTAGAAATTCTCAAGACTTCCATTTAAATTTATGACTAGTCTATGAAAATTTTTGAGGCTAAATTTACACCAATTATCATTTGTTTTCTTATTTAATAAATAACAGCTTTTAAAGCCTATGAGATTATAACAGATTCTTAAACTATATAGTTATAGAACAATTTATATTAAAATTAATTTGAAGGTTTATTATTAAATGATATTTTTTAAAAAAACAAAAGTATATATAAATTTATTCTAGAATAGTCTTTTACTAATAGTAGATCAATTTCTATATTTGGAGACATCTAAAGCAGAGGCAACTCATATTTAATAATTTTTTGATTAACTTTAGGGTTAGGGTCTTCTATATTGGAGTTAAGTTAGGTTTTTTATAAGCAAAATTGCCTTCTTAACATTTTTAATTAACCTACCTGAGGTAGGTTTAGACTGCTGTTTTTTGACCCACTTGTAAACGAAGTCACAAGGTGGGACCTTATTGTGAGTCATAGTTCATATATATAACAGCAGATCAATTTGGAAATAAGGCTTTGATAGTATAATGTGGCTTTGATGGCATTTATATTTGAGTAATTTGGGTATTTGCCAATTTCTTTATTTTTGAATTTTCTGCTTAACATATTAAAAGTAATAGTAAAGCAGCTACTTACAGCCAGAAATCTAACAATATAGTGGACTGGAACCACCTAAGAACATCAGATTTAAAAGCAATGTGTTTTAAGTGTGGTTTCTGAGATGAGAGTAGTAAAACAGAACTGGTAAACTGTTTAGAGGTTTTCTAAAATGAACACAAATCTGAAAAGAACCTGGAGCAACCAGAAAAAGGAAAAGAAAAGTTAGTAGGCCAAAATTTTGGTGAAAAGAAGAAAAAAAAAAGAACCTCTTTTGTAAGAAAACTTTGATAACCAAAATAAGGCTTTTTTTGTCTATATGGAAAATAGGTTGAAGGAAAGGATTGATGAAAAGTTGGGCACATCACTGTCAAGAGTCTTGAATAGGAGTTTGCAATAATGGACAGCAAAAATAAATAGGTAGAAGCAATTGAAATGAACTTTCTAAAAAAGAAGTTTAAAAAAACACGAGATTAATATAAATATGATTTAGTGCATGATGCTAATGCATTGCTTCTAAAAGTAATCTAGGAAACTTAAAAAAAAGACTCTTGGAGGTACAGGAATGGTTGAGGTTGAGGACATTTATCTTGAGAGTTGCCAAAGAAGAAGGTTGGACTGTGACAGGAAAAATTCTAAAATTGATACTAATGAAGGTGATGAATTTAAGAATTTATTAATTGAAGCAAGAAAACAAATGAAGTTACAAGGAGGAGACCTTGTACCTTATAATAGAAGATCCTGGCAAACCAAAGACCAAAAATTTGGTGCTTGGGGTTCAAGAACAAATCATTATACCTCTTATCTGTCTTCTTAACAATATATTCAGTATCTTTTGCCTCTTCAAACTTATCAGAATCAAAGAATGTTCTTGAATCTAGGACCAACTTATCGAAATCAAAAAGTGTTTTCAAATCCAGAACCAATTTATCAGAATTTTTTTGGCAGAGTGGCAAGCAAGCAGTTTATATGTTACTATTGTAGAGGTGCAGATTATACAGCATCAGTTTTGCTTCAAGATCATCAGAAAATAATACAAGAGAAAGGTGGTTTTTTCAGAACAGAACTAGCAATGAAAGTAGGTGACTATATTTAAAGAAGAAAGGACAAAAAGAAAAGCTGAGAGATAGAAATGATGGACAATATAGAGCAGGGCAGGGAAGTAGTTGAGAAAATTTATAAATCAGTAGCAGTAAAATATTGGATAAGGAAAGGATAAACCCGCTGTCTATTGTAGCTTATTGGTTAAAAAACCAAGTATTCTTATTTCTGAGAAACTTGTAGAGTCTGGTCAAGAGCAAGGTTTCAAGACCTTACAAATTTACAATGGATTAGGAGAAATAATTAGAAGAAGAACTGTGGCGGTTGAAAAAACTGAATGCAGTAGAGAAAGTAGGTATATTAGCAGTTTGCCCAGCTTCTCTGCTAGAGATATCTTCAGTTTTCTTGGTACCAAAATCAGAACCAAAATGTTTTTGCCTGGTAATAGATTTGAGAAGGCTAAACAAATGATTGCCAGAAAAATTATTTTGTTTCGAGAATTGGGTGGTTTATTAAAATCAATAGAAAGAAATTGGTAAATGATTATATTGAATTTAAGGGATGGCTATCATCACATGCTGATAGACAAGGAAGCTTGTCAGTTTCTAGAGTTCCAGATTGAAAAAGTATAGTATCAGTATCAGGTATTACCATTCAGCCTTTCGCAGGCAGTTTGGATTTTTTCAAAGATAATTCAGATACTAATTGCCTATTAGAGAGCAAAGAGAATAGTCTTGGGTTCGCACATAGATGATATATGAGTAGCTTACCCCTCAACAGTTGTTTTAGAAAAGATTCAGAATGAAATCATCATATCAGATCTAAGAAATTGCTGTTTTGTTTTGGTATAGGAAAAGAGCAACTCGATATTATCAAAAAGAATAAAGTTTTATAGACTACTAGTAGATACAGAAAAAGCACAAGTGATTATATCAGAGTCAAAGTTGGAAAAAACAAAAAAGCACTTAAAAGCATTGATAGATATAAATTAGGTAATAGCCAGGCAGTTGGCAAGTATTACAGGAAAGGTTCAAAGCCTTGTGAAGGCTTTTGCCTTAACTCAGGTAAAATATTTGGAGTTTTACTTCCTTATAGATACAGCAAACAGACAGTTCTGAGAATGGAATAAAAGAGTTTGATTGTCAGATTAGGCAAAGGAGGATATAAGTTGGTTGATAGAAAATTTAGAGAAGTACAATAGCCACCTGGCCTGCAGACCATCTTTAATAAGGACTTTATTCATAGATACTTCTATAACTGGTTGGTGTACAAAACTAGAGGGGTTAACAGCTTTTGGAAATTAGATAAGAAAATCAGATTCACAGAAAATCACAAAGTTGGAATCTGAATCAGTTCTATTGGGCCTCGAAAGTTTTGCAGACCTGTTAAAAGGTTTTGGGTCCTAATATTTATAGATAATCGAACAGCCTTGGCAACAATGAAACTAGGAGGCAAGTATTGGTGGCAAAAGGAGGCTTACAGAAGGTTGTAGCTGATTTGTCTAGAGAAAAACATTTGGATCTACAAGTTGAAATGGGTACCATCAGCAGAAATACTAGCAGACCTGTGGACCTGAGTCTTCAATTCATCATATTGGTATGTCAGAGAAGAAGTGTTTTAAGAGATAGAGAAAGCTTTTGGTTCACACTCAGTTAATCGAATAGTATACCATATAAACACAAGATTATAAAGGTTCAACAGCTATTATATTTGTCTAGGAGCAGAGGCCATAAATTGCTTTACTCAAAGGTGGAAAAAGGAAGTAAATTATATGTGACCATCACTATATTTGGTACAAAAGGTCCTTTATCATATAAAAAGCAGCAGGGCAAGAGCAACAATAATAATTCTAGAGTGGCTATCAGCAGAATAGTGATCACAACTTCTGGAGCTAAATTAGAAGACCTTTCATCTGTGAGAACTGAGACTTACATTTGTGCCAAGTTTATCAAAATTTGTAGAACTATGAAGAAATCAAAGGTGAAATTTCTTGGCAGTATATATTTGGCCATAAAAGAGCTGTTCCAAAAAGTAAGAGCATTAGCAAAGCAAGCTCCATTTTATAAAGCAAAAACAAAAAAATATTGAACCCTTTACAAGGTATTTTGTAGTAGGTTTGAGTTGGTTGTGAATAAACTGCAAGAGGATGGGATTCTGGTATTTATTATGTAGTTAGATATAATAGGGTTGGCCCCAAACCATGCAAATACTTTAAGTAGTTATGAATAATCTACGTTTTAAAGGGAAAGAAAGCTTTAGAAATTTATAGCAGTAACACAAGTTTTAAGAGCAGTAAAAAAGGAAGTTTCAAAGAATAAAACACTGGATTGGTCATGTAACTCACTCTCAGTCAAAGCATTAAGGTACTACATGGATATACTACCACTCTTGGCAAGTAGATCTATGTATAAGAGAGATATTGCATTGGTTGCACTAAGATTGTGGACAATGTGAAGGCTAGGAGAGTTAGGAAAGCTAAAAATAGCAATTATAAGATGGAATAATGACGGGACCCTGTGGATTCGAATTTGCAAGTCTAAAACTGATCAATTCAAAAATAATAAGTTTATTCAAGTAGAAAATATAGATTCACAGTATTGCTTAGTTAGGCTATTAAAGCAGTACTTGAAAATTTGGCCAGTAACAGACCCAGAAGCACCTCTATTTTTATTAAAACAGAGGAAGAAAGTTTCTGTTTTGACAATTAGCTTAATAGTAAAATAGTTCGCAGACTATGCAGGTTTGACTAGTAGATTTACAGCATATTCATTAAGAATAGGTGAGACAACAACTGCTATAACAGCAGGAATAAGTCTTATACAAATCTGAGCAATTGGAGGTTGGGATTCGAAGGCCGTGATGTTGTATCTGAGGACAGTTTCAACAGCTAAGTTTGAAACTTCTATTCACATAGGTTTTTAAAAAAAAAAAAAAAAAAAAAAAAAAAAAGGAAGGAAAAAAAGGGGAGGAAAGAAGAAAATAGATAACTATATATATATATAGAGTAGTAAGTGATATAAATAATATGTATTAAGGCACACAATCTAAAGAGTAAACCATAATTAAAATAGTGATTTAGTAGAGCACGCAGCTAAAAAAAAAAAAAATATGTCAAATCTAGTAAATAAATTTGATAAAGTAAGGCCAGAAATAGAAAAAAAAAGAAAAAAAAAAAAGAGTAAAGGAGTTAAGAAAGGAAAAGAAAAGATAGAAAGTAGATATTGAAAAATTTTAAAGAGCATGCAGCCCAAACTAATTGATCAGACTGGAGTCTAAAATAGAAATATAGCTTGTTTAATTAATTATATAGTAATTGATGAAAAGAGAGTCTAAAGTTGGATTGTAGCTTTGTTGACTATATAAGTAAAGTAGTTGGAACCCAATACAAATTACTTGTACAATTCTCACCAACAATCCCATACTGTACTTTATAGAGCACAGAGATATTGTTGACCATGGAAGTTGTTTGTTCATCAGAAAAAATAGATTCCATTATGAACAATAATAATAATCTGCTTGTGAACGAAGTCACAAGGTGGGACATTATTGTGAGTTATGGGTCATACATATGATAGCAGATCAATTTGGAAATAAGACCCACTACTCCCAGATATAACAATAGGGTTTAAATCTCAAAAGCATACAATTCTTATAAAGTTTGCTTATATAATATCAGTTGGCTTGTTCCGCAACTCTATCCTATACTGTACTTCATAGAGCACAGAGGTATTGTTGGCCATGGAAGTTGTTTGTTCATCATAAGGAATAGGTTCCATGACGAACAATAATAATGTATTTTTTGGGTTTTTGTTTTTTTGCTTCGCTAGCGATCATCAAAACTATTATTTGATTGGCTGTTGATCACATGATGTGTCTCTGCTTTAGATGACCCCCAAATATAGAGAAAGTCTCCGGACACCTACTAGATCACATGCAACTACACCTATCAGACCAAATAACTATATACCTACACAAGAATAGTTGTAACTTCACCAGAAAAAAATAGTAGCCAAATTATTTTTACTCAAATATTATTTTGGATAGAACTTGCATTTTTTAATTATAGTTAATAAATATGTAAATTTTAAAAAAATTAAACAATGCAAATTTGATAGCTTATCTTACTGTATAGTAAATTTATAGAATATTAAAATGTCTACATTTTACTAAAGCAGTTTACTTTGAATGCACCAATTACAAGGTACAGTAAATTAATATTGATAAAAAAGTTTATGACACAAATTTAATATGTTTGTTAAAAAGTTTT